GTTAATCATAGAATCATAGAATCATAGAATGCTTAGGGTTGGAAGGGACCTCTAGAGATCATCTAGTCCAACCCCCCTGCATACGCAGGGACACCTAAAGCAGGGACACCTAATCAGGTGGCATTACCTGTTCTCTCTTGCAATCTCTGAAAAAGTGCATTTGAAACTAGGGACGTGATTAATTTGAGCACCCAGCATTATGGATTTACAACTAGCAGGAGCACTAGTTTATGGAAACATTATTTCTGGCTTCCATTTCTTTAAATTTCCTGGGGTTGCTGCTGCTTCTTTTCCTGGACAAGGGGGTTTATGGCTTTCTTGTACCAAACCCCTCTGTATGTAACAACAAGTAGAGCACACTGGAAGCACAATTATGCTGCTGAGATAAGATGAAATGTGGTGGTGATGCACCAATTCATCATGTTTGGGTTCTTCTAATGAAGCCCATTACTCACAGAGGAGAATTTTCTCAAGCAGTTAGTCACCAGCAGACAGCTTTCTCTGGTACTGCTTCGCTTTCCGCAGCTGGTGAAGAGTCCAGTCCTCCCCTCACCATCCCAAAAGTGCAATATTAGGAAAAGCCAACACCTAATTTGAAAGTAAACAAACAGTATTGAACTTTCCCCTTAACCACAAAAAAAACCCCAAACAACCAAAAAAATAAGCCGAGAGCTTTCCAGAGCATGCCAACCTTTTTCATTAAAAAGCTGACAAAAACGGCCTGTTTTCCTTTTAATACTACTGAGAGATACCGAGTACCTTTCTTTAGCTTATTAAAATAAGCATAAAATAGACTACACATTAATTACAGCTTGCATAGAAACATTTTGTTTTGTACTTTGTGCAAATCTGACTAAATAAGGCTTGCTTGAGGGTTTAGGTAGCAGTGTAGTAGTTATCAAAGAATGCTGAGAAACTGCAAGGAAAATTCCAGGCAGTCTGCAATCCACATCCACTTACACAGTTCATTTGACTTCAAAGACCAACAGCTGAGCGCTGCAGATCTGTCTGCAACATAAGGCAATGTGGTATGTGTTGGGTCCAGCACCTGCTTGCAGCTAGTCAGGATTTAACACACATTAAGACCACTTGAATTCAAAAACAAGAGCCACTAATTAGAAAGGGCTGCAGAGGTGGATGGGTAAGAAACCCCATTTCAGGGAAAAGGGATGGGAGGGAGAAGGACCAGGAGGTGGAGAAGCACAACCCTTCCCACACAGGGGCTTCGTGCAGGTTTTGTGTGTATCGCTCTGCCTGAAGCTTTCTCCTTGGGGCAATGCTTTTTCCACAACAAACCGCCGCGTATCTGGACAGGAAAAGCCAAAACGTTTGCTCCTCTCAGCCAGTCCACAAGTGTCTGCTGCAGAAATCCATGACCCTAAGGAAGGGTGGCTGTGCAAGAAGGAGGAAGTGAACTAGGAAGCTGCAACAACAACAGTATCAAAAATACCTCGAATAAGCACAGAAGAAAATTATAAGGCCTAATGAGATATCACAGAGAAACATTCTGCCTCTTTCTTCCCCTCCAAATCAAGTATTTTCAGGAAATATCCGAGTACAACCTTCTTTTGTAAGCAGCTTTACATTAAAACCCTGTTTAAAAGCTTTTTAAAAACATGTTTGAAAAAAGACACTAGTAATAATCCTCCAAGTCCCCCAGTATTTTGTAACATAAAATGGAATGTTCCTGCGCCAGCGCCGCCAGCTCCTTCAGGAACTCCGGGAAAAGGGCAGCTCAGGGGACGGCGTTC